TACCTCGGGCATGCGCATTCGCATTTTTCTGAGTTGGAACGCTATGCGAGAGCGAGATTGTGATGGGATCTTGGTATCATGTCACCGTTGTTGCAAACCCTAAGTAATGTACCTCTGGATGTATACATGTAGTGGATAATATTTGGTAATCGTAGTCTAAGTAACTACATGTATTAAAATAGCTAGACGTTTCGAGCAATGGCTCTTTATCGATAGTATAGAAGTAAATGTTTAAACGTATAGGTAGAACATAAGTAAGCAAATAACACCGAATAAACGGCAAGGTAAATACTACGTCAAATTATAGTTAACACGTACTGCTTAATAACCGAGCTTATTACGTGCAGAGAACATGAAACCCGTCCACGCGATCCGCGCAACACAGCGTGGCCAGATTGCGGCAAAGGTCTTCAGATTTGGCTGTACTAGGATGGTGAAAGTAATGGTACAGCATTATAACAGTGAATAAGTACTTAGAAATAATTTTAAACTTATAGTTGCTGTTGACATAGGAAGTAAAGTAAGCAAATAACACCGAATAAACGCCAAGGTAAATACTACGTCAAATTATAGTAAACACGTACTGTGTGCGTGACTCGAATCGGCGCTCGTGTACCATTCTCCTTCCCAGAGTTCCTTGCGGTTAGATCACCGAAAGTATCTCTGCCACCACACACCGCCATTTTGTGGTGAAACACCACAAGACTTTTACTACGCGTGTTATTTGCGTATTTTGTTATTAGAGGGATCTAGCGTTGATTTATTCCTACTGGAAAACAAGGTTTAAAATGTTTTATCGATAGCTGATAACGATTTTCCGTAAATGCACTGTCAAGGGTGAAATAGTTCTAATTTACAGAAGAAAATAATTTCATGCGGCTGAATAACGGTTGCTAAGGTGTTAATCGGTTCATCAAACTGACCGTCCTGTCGATTTCCAGACAAAAATATAAAGAAACGATTGCACCGTTTGTGCTACAGAAAGAAAATAAAGCTTCTAACTTTGAAAACGGCCAGTATATACAAACAACGCGTACACATTCGACGGATTCGAAAATCGAACACCTGCATGGTAATGTTTTGATGAGCGTTTTTGAAAGTAGTACCACTGCAGGGGCATTGACGCTGCAGGTCGGCGTTTTCTACACCGATCTGACGCATATCGCGCTAGGTGTGCCGGGAGTTTGTTCGAAATTTCGAACGTTTCGAAGTCAATCGTCGATTGCCACATATTTTACGGATATATTAAATCGTTTAAGAGACCTGTTTACTAAATGATGATAAATGAAACTTAGAAAACTTGTAAGAACATACTGGGCCCAAATTGCGCAAATTGCAATAAGTTTACGCTGCTAGAGTCTGGTTCGGATAGAGTTCTACGCGTGATTTTATTGCGCTCAAGGACGTTCTATTTTCGAACTAGTTGAAACCGGAAATAACGCAACTACTTTCGAACTTCAAACACAAATTTGATTATCGTTATTATGTGTTAGTTTCTGTTGTTTCAAAGATTGAATTATGTATGGCAATAATATTTCACTCTATAAACAATATTTCACTAAAATATGTGATTCAAAGGCAACCCAAATTGTAAAAAGCAATATCAAGTTCCGCGTATAAACACTGTTGTAAAGAGGCGGCGGAGCGGAATTTTAGCCAAAATCGGCTAGTAAGGCGTCATATGACACAGGTTTGTGCTGGGACAGCGCTTCCTGTGACGACACAACGACTGCAGGGGGGATTGGCACGAGAGGGCGCCATCTGATCTGAATGGAACGTTTCGACCGTCAGTCGTCCATAGCCCATCGTCAAGCAACAACGTCCCGTTTACGAACAGATAAAATAATACCACTGTGACGCATCGACCAATCAACGACAAGCATAAGATCGCGTGGTGGCAGAGATATATTCATAATAGAACTCTGGCTGGGAGATTGCTCGTGTACGGCACCTAATTTCTTAGGTAGAACATAAGAACGCACACAACAACTATAAAATAGAATCACTAAATGATTCCACAATAGAACATGTTACGTGCATTAGGTAGTAAGTTCAATAATACCTGGTTCACATGGTCTAGAAAAACTAGTAGTTACTTAGGACAACAATTACCAAATATTATCTACTAGTATAATATATCATATTGAATTTAGAGATGATGAATAATGAATGGATGAATGACTTACGACAACTCCGTTACGTGGGGAGCATGTCGGATGATGCCTTGGGCAGCTTCAACCGATACGCCTTCTATATCGCTGAAATAAAATGATGACAAAATATTAACCATATTTGATTAAGCGACAACAAGAACAACTGATCGTTTAAAATAAATCGTTATTCACACTATAAACCAAGTATAACCAAACTAAATTCCGGTTTCAGACGATGTTTGATATTTGTAAACAACTTGAAAACTGTTGGTGACTTCAGTAATTTAGCGGTTAATTTTCAATAAAAAACTTAACAAATTTTCGGGTTTCGAAACGGGTCTTAAAATGAACGTACGAGCTTAGAAACTTACAGTTTATAATATTGTTCGGGAATGTCCGTTTCTGTCGTGTAAGGTGCAAAGCATGTAATCTCGTCGGCAGCACACGAACACCCTAGAGGACACTCAGGCTGATCATGGCGCCAGGCGCCGCCGGAAACATGACAGCACTGTGACGACAACATTGCAATCACCACCAATGCAACCAATCGGAATCTTTCAGAAGTCATGGTTTCTGAAATCAAAAGGTATTCATTATTTGGGTACTTAAACATTTGGGGTATTTTCCCCTAATTTAGACATAATTAACCTATTTTAACCTATTTAACATTTTATGTAAGGTAATATACATTTTCAACAACTCACTAGGAATATGCAGAATGATAAATTGTTGGAAGTTGGAACATACGGGCCAATTTGCACCATGTATCTTTGTAGATCTACTGTACTCTAAAACAGACTCACCTGTTTTTTTAAAAAAGCAACACAGAGCACCAACTGTACTACAAACAAAACTCACAGCTAAAAGAAATACAACGGAATGCTAAATTGACAGTTTACCTGATTCCAAATCGAACCATTCGACGTTTACTGTTCCAGTGTCATTGACGCTGCATTTCGGCGTCTTCTACACCGATCTGACGCATATCGCGCTAGGTGTGCCGGGAGTTTGTTCGAAATTTCGAACGTTTCGAAGTCAATCGTCGATTGCCACGTATTTTACGGATATATTAAATCGTTTCAGAGACCTGTTTACTAAATAATGATAAATGAAACTTGTAAGAACACACTGAGCCCAAATTGCGCAAATTGCAATAAGTTTACGCTGGTTCGGATGGAGTTCTACGCGTGATTTTATTGCGCTTAAGGACGTTCTATTTTCGAACTAGTTAAAACCGGAAATAACGCAACTACTTTCGAACTTCAAACACAAATTTGATTATCGTTATTATGTGTTAGTTTCTGTTGTTTCAAAGATTGAATTATGCATGACAATAATATTTCACTCTATAAACAATATTTCACTAAAATATGTGATTCAAAGGCAACCCAAATTGTAAAAAGCAATATCAAGTTCCGCGTATGAATACTGTTGTAAAGAGGCGGCGGAGCGGAATTTTAGCCAAAATCGGCTAGTAAGGCGTCATATGGCACAGGTTTGTGCTGGGACAGCGCTTCCGGTGACGACACAACGGTTCCAGTGTGCGTCCTTTTGGCATTTTATTCGGAAATGCTGAACTCCCTACAGTTCGATACACGCTTCTTATCACATCAGTGCGTTCGCGTCCTGGTGACAGGGGTGCCCGCAAACTCCGCACAGTTCGATACGCGTTACTTATCATCACTTTGCATATAACTCATTTGCATATTCGAATATGTTCGAACTACAAGACCCTGTCGGTTAACAAAGTTATGCGTAAGTCACTTGGTTACTCTAATCACTTTAATAAGACGTTTCACGCCCGATTCCGAATAAAATGTTCAGTTAATTAAATTAAAATATACATGACTTGCGTTAGAAAAGTACAATCCTTTCCTACATGCCAAAACATTAGTTTCTACTATAAATGACTAACTTTATAAACTTACTAGAACCTGTGTGTTCTATGGCTGTTAGACGCGCAAAATTGAACCCGTTCAAGCCAGAAATATTATTGAAATATTCACCAGAATACAAGATAAACGGAAATGTTAGGAAACTCCTTTCAGTGAAATTAGTCATTAATGTTTCTTTCCCAACTATATACGTTAACAGAACGTTTTTTTCTTCCCAGTTTTAGTGTATCTCGTTCGCCATTTCACTACACTAACATTACCTTGCAAAACATAGTCCGCGATAAAATGGTTCGTTTCCTAAGCTCCATAAAGTATGGCACCAATTATTCAGGTGCAAGTCCTGGCAATGCAACTGGCATTGACCCACATATGACTCACAAACAGGAGGCAAATGTCAACGTTTAATGGCATCCTCAATCCATGCTCAACTGCATGTGTATGTCTAAAGACTGGGAGAAATACATAACGCCCGTTAGACTCTCTGCATTCCCCCATATTGCGAGAGCGATCCCTAATTCTGAAATATATGATATGATCATTGACCTACACAATCGATTCGATGACACCTGCAAGCTTTTGAAATGTAAATGGCAAGAACCCTACTATGTTACGGAATGATTCAAGCGATATGACTATGATATAGAAAAAGATGGCCCAGATAAGCTGTACCACACCAATATGTACGAGTAAAGTACGATGACAATGTAAACATACATACTAACACTTCTATGCCGCTGAGCACACCTATATGTATGTTGCTTGATTGAAATTCCGCCTACTGACTATAGATTGTCTAGAACACCTGAATCTTGCATTCAGGATGCTCTGAACTTAACAAAGTCTCTTATCGAAGAAGTGCAGCATGAATTAAGAGGGTATACTGCCACACTTACAGACACACCAGGCAAGTCAAATATACGTTGCCATGGCATGCATCTGACTCCCCGTTCATTCTATACCATTTTAAACACGTAATGTGATAAAGTCAGTATAATGATATATGGTGAAACTGGGGATCATTGGAAATCATCACCTCACCTCACCCCACCTCGCCTCACACATTGTATTTATTAAGACGCTTGGTGGAAGTCTTTGATTTTGAACTGATCCCATGTCTATATCACGGGGAAATTCTTTTCTCTGGTGTTCTTCACACTTGTCAGCGGGGAATCTCGTCTCGTCTCTCTATCGCGTCCCCTGGAGGTACGGGATCGGGAAAGTCACTTAAGCTTTACAGTCAAATAAGACACACAACGAAATACGTTTCAGCTCTCGTCTTAGTCGATCAGTCGAGCACTCTATAAGACACAGCGCCCTGGAGAAAGTCCCCAAGACTATCACAAGGCTGCCCCAAGACTGTGTCAAGACTCGCCCCAAGACTCTCCAGGACTGCGTCTGTCCTGGTGTACTCGCCAAGACCAACTAAAACAACTTTATTCACTTTCAAAACAATACTTACAAAGCAGTATAAAGACTCTAAGGCGTGGCCTTCACACATACAGCCAATCACACTAAGTACTGAACATGTCATATTTTTTGATTAATCGTTCACTACATTAATAACTGCGAATACTAACTGTCAGAAATAGTAGTCCAAATAGCGACGGTTATCTCGTAATTAGTTCCAAATCACTGAGTCGAGTTCCGTCCAGAACCTCAAATGGGCCAAAACGATGACAGACATAACACAGCCATTCGCTAGTAATCGGCTAATTAAGTCAGTCAACAGATACGCAAAAACAATTTCATCATATCTAACCCAAAGGCAAAATAGGCTGATTGTAATTACTCGACCAAACTATATACAAAAAAATCATCATGCACTGCAGAATGCTTCGTGAAATTCACAAATTGTCTCAAATTTCGCCGCCATTGCTGCGCCTCTGCATGAATCATGTACAAAGAAAGATACAGATTCGAAAGTCAATTGGGAGTTTTGAACAACTAATAAACATATCTCATTTAATGACTAGACAAATTATTTGTGCGAAAACTTTTTGAAATATAATCAATCTAAATGTTCCCGCTATATACCAATAGTTTTATGCATTCACCAACATTAGTTTGCTTTGATTTTGCTGTTTCTAATTCTCGCAGCAGTCGCAACGCAGACGGTCAAATTCCTCAACTAAACTACACTACTGCTTGCTAATTTACTTTTAGGATGCGTGCAATATCATACAAATAATTTATAACGTTATAACATTTAATACCGTATTGTTATATAGCATATATGCATCTTCCCTATGTACGTCATAGTGACGTTAGCTAAAAACGCTTGAATTGTAGTTTCAAATGTCACAACTTTAGTGGAGTTATCAAAAACTTTGTCTATTAAATGGAATTGGTTCCGTGTGTCAATCTAAAATACTATTCTCTTGCCAAATAGAAATTAGACTGGCTCAGTCGTAGCGATTTTATTATCTTTATAATTTTATTTTACTCATTAGCATATTTACCACTACAAAAACGTGGTGACAACTATAGAGGGCGCAGTAGAATATACCAGTCGTGGTAATTTCGTCGTCATGTTGTTTCTACGGACGTAGACACGAATTCCCCGAAACACCCACCCTCTCTGTTCATGCCACTGTGCGTCCACGCGAACTTTTGTTCAGAATTCAGATAATAAATAATGTTTTGTTGTTGTTTTTTATTTATTTATTTATTCAGGAATCTTCCTTTTTATAATACAATACAACACAACGTTCTTACATTGACTAGAGAAAAGAAAACGCATACAGACTTTAAAACATTACAATCTTTCCACTTATTTTGTTATTTTAGTGTTATATTTCTTTGACATAACATATTCCAATTGTTTTATTATTGTAATGCTATTACGTACTACTAGTATATTGATAGACGGTAAGCTACCTTTCAGCCTGCACTCTTAAATAGTTTTCTTCGCAATAATTACTAGTCACGCGATTCTTTGAGTGACTAAAATCTCGCAGTAAAATTTGCTTTTATGTCAATTGATCTTGGTCAAATAATTGTGTAATTTGGCTTTTTTTAGCATTACGTCGCTCAAGACCAAGTAAATATTTTGTATTATTTTCACCCATCTCATACCATGCTATCCGTGTAGGAATAATAGAGCCTTCCGTGACGTAATGTCACGTAATTTGCTGTTTAATAATTTCAGTGGGATTGTTAGCTAAATTAATGTTTTGTTTGTATAATTTTTCCAAACATTTTATATTATCTTTCCCTTGACAGGTCTTCTTTTTATTGTAGACATTTGTATTAATTTTTATTTTATATTTGATGAATTTCCAAATAAGACGGTCGGCATTTCAATCGCATTATTCATCAACGCAGGTTTGTATAATTCTCACCTAACAATAAGCTGTTGTTTAATTTCACACCAAGCTTATGCCTAATATCGCCAATTGTAAGTGTGATGGTGGGATGGTCAGTTTGAATACTCTTGGAGAAAAGTAATAATAGAAGTTAACCAATTGAAAACACCGACTCTTTTTTTATAACTCTGCATCTCTTTCACGTTCAACGAGATAACTTTAAAACACGCTGCCATGATTACATATTATATTTATCAGCATAACAACGGGTGGGACAGATTCTCAGTAGCTCTATTACAGCGCTTCTGTTCGATTCGGCACTAACCACGTGATTTTCAAACTTCCGGGGTCGACACGTTTTGTGCTCTGCAGTACAAACCACGCCTAGTGAACAATGTTTTGAGCTAAATGGCAATATAAAATGCAATGAACCGTCATATCAGCCATTATAGAAGTACGTGTGTTGTGTATTTTCATCTAATAAAATAAAATAATAGAAATGCAGTATTCAACGTTTTTTTGACGTTAAATTTGTCATATGTATTCAAACTAATGTTTACACGTCACCGGAACACATCAACTCATCAAAATGTATGAAATACTGGTTGGCCAATATATTAAACCTCAAAACATATCAGTAATGATAGAATTACACATCTTACTACCCTCGTTCGGCCGAGAATCAATAATAGGAACTATTTGCTATTTTTCCGGGAACATATATGTTTTTTTATTCAGCATTTTATTTTCCCTGTGTTGG